TATGTCTCATCATATTCTGTCTGAACTCTCGTCTTTTTAGAAGCAATTAAAAAGCGTCTGTTTGTGGACAGCACATATCAGTTCAACAAGGTATTAACTAAGAACTAAGAAAATTCCTGCACGCCAAAAAGAAATTCTTCCCAAGACAAAATTTTTAAACATCTTCACTTAAGCTTCAGTAAATTTTCAACAACAAAAATACGAGCGCGCGCCTGAAGTTAGAAAAAAACGTACGTGCGGATAACATCTTCAGCAATTTCCCCTCAAAATGGATGGAATTCTTTAACAGTTTTTATAGAGTATGCATGGTGGAATTTCATAAGGAGGCTCTTCGCTTCTTTATTTAAGAAAATTCAAAATGTCGGTAAAAATTATTGGGGGGGGGGGGGGGGGGGGGGTTGTAGCTCCCCCAGCTTGATATGATCAGTTTCATATTTCATCATACTCATGTCATACTTGTAAGTGAATCTTATGAATGTGTTTATTATTTAGCCTTCTAAAGTCTCGTCTCTTTATATAAGCGATTAAAAACCAAAAGCATCTGTTTTTATGGCGGACATCACATATATCAGTTTAATAAGGTACCAGACGAGTTTCGCCCAAGATTTTTAATTTGCAGGTTTTTGTTTTCGACTGAGTTTACTGTTATTATCTTGTATCAATGAATTTTTAAAGTTCTTGATTGATATGATATAGAGTACAAACATTAAATGTGTGCAACACTGTCCACTATTTACTACAAAATAGTGTTAATTAAACAATAAAAAACAATAGAATTAGCATAATTTAGTAGTATTTAGTGGTATTTATGTTGCACAGTTTTAGTGTTTGTACTCTACAGTGTCTTTTTTAAAACTCCCATAAAATAAACTATTGTACAGTGTATTATATCTTTTTATAAAATTTTTCATATATAACGCGCGCTCTGATTGGCTGACGACCGTGTTTATATCATAGGACAGAGACACGGGTAACCGGCAAAATTTTCTTTTCGCTCGAAAAATTTTATAAAAGAAATATAAAACGGCCGCTTGTGTTTTTTCTTCATCTTTTCATTGTATTACATTGTACTTTACTTGAATTTCTGTACTTTGTTTCGATAATGTATTTTGTCGAATCTGTGNTGGATTCATTATAAACTGCAGTTCCTTTAGGAAATTGTCAGCATACAAATGAATTTATTTACGGACTCTTTTAATCTTAAAAATAAAGGGAATTTTTAATTTTATAAAAAGTATACAACAGGTTCAAATGGCATTAATGCAAAAAACAAAAAACAAATAAACAGTAAAAAGATGTGTCTATATAAGTATAGTTTGTAGAGGGAAATGGTTAGGAAGCCTTTTGCTGAAGGTTTTTGTGCAGTTTATAGTTTTCACTCATTTTGCAATTTAGTTCAACTTCCATCGTCCATAAGAGAAAGGTTGTGCACGGACTTCTGATTCAACCTCAAAAAACGTGTAAGATGTACAAAAGAAGTACAACAAAAGGTTTCTAAACCATTCCCCTCAACTTAGAATGACATTCAAGCCAAGGGTTGAGTGTTATTTTTATAGAAGGATTAGAAGATATTCTCTRTGTTCCATTTTTTGTTAAAAACACTTCAACCTGTTTTGAAGAACACTCGAAAATCGCACTTTGACAGCTCGAAAATATCTATAGAATCTAAATAAAATATGAATTGCTCTTGAAATTTTTTTCATCAACCATTTGAACTGAAACGTAAAAAAAGTATATATTATATAATTTGTTTATTGGCTGTATATATTTTTTTTTAAATCCCCATTATAAAGATTGCACATGCAGTGATGATTTGCATKATGTATGCATGTTTGTATGATGTATAAATTGTTTTTCGACTTTAATTCTSTATCTACTTATGCGGACGCAAGTGCTTGTCGAAAACAATTGGCCTCCTACCAACKTTTTGTCATGACAAAAAGAGGTTTGCGCWAAAGAGCAGAACATYGATAATTCGACTAGTTTAAAAAATCCCATGATAAAGGTTAAGGGATTTATTTCTAAAGAGCTTTTAAAATCATGTTAGTTGTGAGATTACTTCATTACTTATTTAACATATGATTGAACTCCTATTAATTGATGAATTCAAAGAATCTTAAAACAAAAGATGACAACACTTATTGAAGTGTCACCACAGAGTGTTTCAATCTATCTATCTATCTGTATTGTCCATTAAAGAGTAGCAAAACAAGTTGCAAGTTGTGTGCCTTTTTCTTCAATTTATTTATATGGCCTGAAGATTGTCTAACATGAAACTTTAAGTCGCCAACCGTTTGCCCGAGTCTTGTATTTATTTATATATATAATATCTTTAAAATATAATAATACTTGAATGATTAATTTTTTTATTGTTACAAGCWGGTTTCATATGGTCATCAGAGATGACCACACTCGTAAGGCAAGTTKCAATGAATGAACGGACCGTTAAAGTTAGCTGGTATTTTACCTTTATTCATAATATTCTTGCTATACCATAAATATAGACCTTTTACACTCTTTAATAACTTATTTGAAGCTTGTTAATAAGGATTAGAATATAGATAAGAATGAAAAGATGAATTGAACGTCAGAGAATTATTTGAGATGTAATGGGATAAGACATAATACATAATACATAATTTAAGAATATAAAAGATTTATTTATATTTCTGATGCTGTTTTTACTTTATTATACATATTTATTTATTATACATTCTATTTTACTTTATTTTAATCGTCCGCACCATCACTGAGTCTTTTTTTACGGGTAATTAAAACTGTGAACTCTTTTATGTGTATTTTTTTATTTTATTTTTTTCTGGAGTGTTTCATTTTAAAATCACCAACGTAGTTCCGACTAGTTTCGTCGTCATGCAGCAGGTGTGGGGGGAAGTAGTCATTCCAAGTAAACAGTAGGGATTTGTACACGATTTCGTTAATTATTARACTGTGAATTTAATAAAAATATTTGCATAATTTAGATGTTCATYTGGCAAGGATAAACACAACAATCTGTGTCCAATGTGCGTCAACCAGTTATAAACCGGTAGCGCTTCGGTCACGGAAACAATCGACTTGAAACACGATTCAATATTCAATATCACTAGGTGATCAAACAAAACTAATTCAATTCTTCAGCTGTTTTACCTGGGAGATCGATCATTGAAAAGACAAAATTAAAAAGAATACAAGGTAATTTTATTGAAACAATAATCAAAGCATAGATAGGTGAAACAGAGGGCAGTTGCAAAGAATTAATCCATCCAAACATACAACTGCTATCGTGCGAATCACGATTTTCACCTCGATTTATTACGATATTTCTTTTCKAAAACGATGCAAAAGTAGTGTAAAGGTTGCACAGAAAGATCCAAGGATTGTTGGGTTGGGGAGGCTGGAACATTTGGATCAGTTTCAAACATTACTGGTTAACAACTTGTTTTAGAGTTTGGCTATCTCTTTTCATGATGTTGCCATCGATTAATTTTCCACAAATGTTGGATTGAGCGTACAAAATGTGTTGTATCAAACGCTGTCCAACATTTTTAAAAGTGTTTGATCATCCAAAAATGTTTTAGAATAGAAGGTCTGGGTTATTCAATATTTATGGCTTGTATTTACAAAACTGAGATGTCACATTATTGAAAAAGATGACACATCAGTTTCTAACCCGCATGTAACAACTCCTCCCTTTCTTTGCCATGCTCTATGCTGTCATTTCAGTAAGAAGATTGTACAGGAGTACGACTACATCAAAGACTAGTTATCCAAACAAAGACACGCTACAACCGCTTAAAACGTCTTCAGAAAAAAAGGAAATCTAAGAACATGAAGAACTTTTTTGTGGGACTGATTGTGTTTATTTGGTGGAACCATTTCATCGAGGGAATGAAGCAATATGAAGACGAACGGCATGGGTTGTTTACTTTTGTTAAAGGTAAGTTCACTGGTACCATGAAGATATACAAGATATAGCACTGGAAAAAATGGAGCACTTAAAGGTTATAAATATGATGTAAATTTGAAGTGTCCAAACTTATGTAAATGTGAYGTAAACAAATTTGATGTAAATTATTTTTTCCAGTGTAGATGTTTGATAATAATAATTATGTCAGCAAAAAGTCTCGAGACTTCGAATTTTCACGGTTATTTTCTCTATGTTTTGCAGGAAAAYATTTAAAAGGGGGAGTCATAGAYCAAAGAAGTGTCACTTCCCCCCTTAAATGCAGCCATAGGTGCATCGGGAACAGGCTCTGCATGTCGTTCAATTACAAATTATCAGGATTGAGTGAAGCTGGTGTTTGTGAGTTRAATAATGCTACACGAATAACGGCGCCACATCTCTACCAGGATAACCCACTTTACGACTACTACTTTGATCCAAGGGTCGAGGTCTGTACTTGTTTCTATATAGACTGGAAAAAATCGCGCGCTTTAAAGGTTGTAAATTTGATGTATATGTATGATAAGTGTCCAAAATGATGTAAATTTGATGTAAATGATTTCCATCAAATTGACATCATTTTGGACACTTACATCATATTTACATCAAATTTCCAACCTTTATGGCGCGCGATTTTTTCCAATGAAATCGTGTTCAGGATCGGATCCAGGGGGGTGGATTGGGTGGCTAGACACCCCCTCTTTTATTTGAAAAAAATATATATTTAGACTTAAAGTTTTGAAAAAAAGAAATTAACTAACATGATTATTATATAACGGAAAATATGTATAATTACTTCGAAAAAAATAAAGAGTGAGAAGAACTGTTTGATGTAACTGATGTTTATCTAATATCTTTSATATAAAAGTTTGTCGAAAAGTCCGAAATATYRTAGGTGTGTCCGAGATAACGATAAACGATAATTTCACATGAGTCTAAAGATTCAAATTAATWGTAACGTACTTTAACATTAAATTTTAAAGTTAGCCATCAAAGAATTGCCCCACAAACGTTGTCCTTCGTTTAGCAGCCATATATGGTAATCTTACCTTATTTGGAAGTACGATAGGAATGGTTTTTGTCAAATTTCTCGACTTTTAAAGCTTGAAATCGCCTGAAACTTGCAGATATTATAGCGAAAACACATCTCAACAATCGGCCATTTTGTTTGTTTCCATATATGGCATGGATTTGCTAAAGGTAGCCCAAAGCTAAAAAGCACAGGGAAAAATCATGGCCCCTGCATTTTTTGCAGTTTTCGATCAGTTGTAGTCCGTCAGGAAGAAGCTTGTCAGTTTGATTACTCTCTTTGTTAATATTATCCCTTTTTTCATTCCTTTATTGATGTTTATATTTCATTCAGAACTTCAGGTCTTGTCTTGACTACCTTCGTAACGGAGCCAAAACGAATGGTATCTACACCATCACAGATACCAGTGGAGATTCCTACAAAGTATTCTGTGATGTCACCTCAGAGCCTCGCTCTGCCTGGACCTTGATCCAGTCGTATGCCAGGAAAAATAGGAGAGTTAATGCATTCTGCCGTGGATCGTTTGCAACGAATTTGCCGATCGAGGAGAATTCACCAAACTGGGRGWCCTATCGGTTACAATTACARAAAATGAAATTGCTTTCAGGTATGGATTTTTATGAAAAATSACATTAGTACTTTTCATTGCACTTTTCCTTTACCATTACTATCACCATCGCCATTCCTTTTTTCAGCATAAATGACCTTTTCCATCAYGTTTACCATTGATATAATCTGTTACAACGAATCTTCCCATCGACCCTTGCGGGAAGTCGGCGAGCGGTCATTAMAAGCACATGTTTTTTACTCTTAATACTTTTTTCGTTTTCTTCGCGATTATACCTTGAATCGCAACCATCAGGTTTGTAATACTTTATTATASTTTGGTTTTTTTTTGTTCTCTGTRTAATTTTTTTTACCGTTTGTTGCAGAAACCTCTCGATATTCTAAGTTCTAAATCTCCCCCGAGATTTCCGTCAAAATAAACATGTTAGAGAGCGTTGCTGAGGTTTTTGATTCTTTACATAATCATTGACGTCACCGCTTTACAATCATTGTTATCATCTTAGATCAATCAACTCATTGGAGAGCYACTACAGGCTTTGACAAATATGGCGTCGACTACACCGATTATATCAGAGCTAAAATCTCAAGCTTGGACATTCTGAGTTCCACTACCATACACGCAGTTTGCAAAACCGTGGAATATGTCAACATCCGTGGAATCAAGGGCACAAACATTCAAATGAACTTTTTTCAAGAAGTGAATGTATTCTCCCTTCATACTGACAGCGGGGCCTTAAATTGYCCTTTCAAGTCCAATCTTGGAGCAAAACCGTCGGAAAACGATTTTGGTTTCTACTGCGAGGGAGATTCCACAATGAATCCGAGCTTTAGAGGCACCATGAACGAAGACAGTACAACGCARTGGTGGTTTGGAGGATATTTGTGAAACGATTGCTTTACTTTTATAGCACTATGATAATAGCAAACACAGAGTATCTTCTCAGTAAGAGGATGTACGCACCACGCATGAAACATAGAGTCATCTAGGGGAAGGGGTGTCCACAGTCCACAGACCCCTCAAATAGCACATAATGAAAACCTATGGATGTAAGGATCACATGCCCGCACATGGCACTATGAGATACATAATGGAAACAAATTAAGGAAAGTTATAGTGATAGAAAGGAGGTTGTTCCTGAAGAAAAACCCTTGGAAATAAATAAGGAAAAATTAATTTTCGCGACCTCGCTGGATCAATTTTTCTGAATTTATTTCCAAAGGTCTTTCGCCCGGAATAACCTCCCTCCTAGCAATATAACTTTACGTACTTTATTTCTATATCACATAATGTTTTATTAGATAATAACAGTTTTTTGGAGTTCAGTTTCAAGTGCCACGACTTTGAAAATGARTCCARCATTTTTTATGTAAAATATAAGGTGTGAGACTTGTCAGTTGTGCTATCAGCAGTACAACTCAATACATATTTTCTAACTGTGCAAAAATAAACCGTCACTTTAATTCCGTACGGTGAAGATACCGTGACGTGACTGCCCGGGGGGGGACTCCCTAATAAAAAAAGGGCGGGGGTCCTCGTCGTCCCTTTTAGGGTTTGAAATCAGCATTTCCAATGTCACCACCAATCAGCCATTGGTAGCCAAATCATGCTTATAAAAAACCGCAACAGAAACATGTCTGGAATTGGGCTCCTGGTGATGATTGTTAGAAGCGGTTTTTTTGTATGAATGATATAAAAATAAAAAAAAAGTTAATCGAACATGAAGACTCTCTTTGAGCGCTTACTCGATCTGCATCACAGGACAGTCACATGATAAATGACGTCACGTTCCGTATAACACACGTCTATAACGTAAAACGTAGGCTTAAGTTTGTTTCAGTTTTTTTTTATTGAAACTGACGAGCCAAAATAAGAAAATTTGCATCCCAGTTTCYCTCGGTCACGTGAAGATCGCTTTGTACAAATCAGCTATATCCGTGTATAAGATATTTAGATTCTTTCGATTCCAAAAAAAATAAACAAAAAAAAATAAACAAAAATAAATAAATGAATGAATGAATCAAAAGAAAGAAGAAGAACGAAGGAGAAAAACGAAAACGTCCTGGGACTCGAACCCATGACATAAAGATCGAAAAAGTTTGGGACGATTCCCCCGAGACATTCTGTGAAGCTGAGGCGGCGAATCGATT